AGTTATCAGAATGACCAGTCACTTAGACATTTGCAATAAAATGAGAAACATTTTTAAAAATGGTTCTGTGATATAATAGTAACAGCACAATCAATCCTGATGTCTAGTTTGCAGATAACTCAGATTATTGATGACTTAATTCAGGAAAATAAAGTATAATACTTACATATATATATATATATATATATATGTATGTATGTATGTATGTATATACACACACACACACGCACTTACTACATGTAAGCTAGAGCTATCAAATACAACAAAACCAGTTTCAGTTACTACATTAACCGAGTTTTCAGGACAGGTCACAGTGAAACGTTTTTGCTCAATTCATAAAGAAAATATATATATCTGTCTAACTATCTTGTATAGCTGGCATGTAACAGTACTAAGCACGGGTGCCTTCCTCTCAGTCAGTGATGTGTATTTATTTGTTCAACGAGTTTAGGAAGACTAACCACGTGAGGGTGACTAATTCAAAGATGAACAACAGAACCGTTGTGTGCTCAAGCATCGCTGACAGTGCCTGTCTTATTTTAATGAAACTCTGTAGACAATCAGTTTGGGAAGGAACCTGAGAAAGTGCTTGCGTACAGGTATTATTCCCCTACGACATGAACTTCGAGTTAACCTAAGATCAAAACAGCAGTTACCATTTTCATATTGTAGCCACAGACAAAAGTATTACTTTGGCAGAACAAGTTCACATTACTTCTTCTACAGCTGGCCAAATCTTTAAAAGAATACTAAAATAGACAGACGCATGAAAGAAAGAAGAAAAGATGACTAGGAACAGAAGACAAGAGGGCAATGGTGGTTTTCCAGAGATGGGTCCATTTCCTAGAGAAACATGGAGTGGGAGGATCACGTCTTCGACCATTTAAAGACGAGGAAAAGATGGTAGGGTTGCTAGGGTATGTGCCTGAAATTTGACCTCTTCCCAGAACCAGACAAGTCTCTGGGAAAAACAGGAACAGTTTCAGAGTTTTGAGCAGTCAGGATAATGGTAATAATGGATAGCTCATCTACAACCTTTTGCTTTCAAAGACGATAAATTTTGGGATGCTGTTTTGTACTCCTAAATTTGCCTTTAAACTTCCCTGTGGACTCACAAAAAGTAACATAAATCACAGCTGCTCTTCTGAACACATCAAGACTACAGCAGAGAGGTGGTCATACTGGGAACATCTACATAATCTTACACAAGTTGAGTGTGAAAACAAAGCTCAGTTTAAGGATGGCATAGAAGAGAGTTCACCTTGTTTTTCCCTCAGTGAGACACTTGCCTAGTGCTATCTGTGAGGAAGCAAAGAGCATTTTAATGTCGAAGGTGCCCTGCTGGATTTATAAGTATTAGTTCCATGATGTCCTTGTGAATGGGGACCACATTCAAGGTTTTCACCTATTTACAGATTATTTTTTAACTGCTGATCAACTATGATATCATGTGTCCCTACACCAAATGAAAATATTTTATTGGATATTTCCAGCATATCTTGTTTGTTTGTTTTCTGAAAGCTAGTATAGTTAACTTGTACCACTGCTTGCATGGCATGACTCTTTCAGAATGTGGTATTCAACCGCTGGGTGCTTTTTTGAGTCAGGATAGTGCCTGTGTTTTTTATTTGCTGAAGTCTGCTCTATCTTCATTTTTATTCTAGGAGCTGAGGAACACTGTTCCAAGGGATCAGCAAACAAATAGAACATTTGCAGTAGCTCTGAGGCTTTCATTATGGACACCCACACTTGTGGTAACCCAACAGATCTGCAAACATAGAAAGCATTTTTACTCTGTGCATCATCAGTGAAACTTCTGTCAGCAAATACATTTTGCTGACGTTAGGATAACTTATAAATATATGTTGGCAATAGCAAACGTGGGAAACACCCAGGTACTCAGAGATGGCCAAGCTGCAAATCTGCAAACAGATTTAAACTCTGACTTAAGAGTACATCACTTCAAGGAAGCACTGCATCACCATTAGATGAGGGACAACTAGCTTCGTTTGTGTAGACAGGTGTATTTAAACCAGTTACAGTGGATACAGGGACATGGCATTATGCATCTTTTGATTTGATTATATCTTTTGATTTTCCAAAAGCTACTGAGACTTCTTTATGGCGTGCAAGATACAATGCTAAGCAATGTGAGATATAGGCAGCTCTACTGAAGCAATCTAAAACATGGATTAAAAAGCAATAGACCATTGTCATAAAGTTACTTCATCTGACTTTGACCGGAAATCTAATTTGTAAACATCCCTACGGTAACATTTGCAACCCTACATTGCTGTTACCTGTATAACTCTTTTATCACTATTATACTTAGAGCAGCATATAAAGCATGTGTAAAATTGGGCTTTCTGCAAGCTAGACATTTGCTTCCAAATCCTAACGTTTGAGGATCTCTTTGACTCAACTCCATAACCACCTTGCAGAGTACCTTTAGGACCAAACAGGAGAGAGTGGCGGGCCTTACAAAATACAGCACAACCATTTGCTTTCCTCTGGTTTACAGTCCCCATCTCTTCTTCTATCCAGGACCATGCATGTTATGCTGAAGTTCTGCAAGTGAAAAAATTTGCCACAGATGCCACTAATCTAAAAATGAGCTGCATGAGACAAGAAATGCTCTGACTTCTATATTCTGCTAGAGGCGGAACGCTGCAGACACCATCTACTTTCTAATGACAAAAACATTTTTAAAATCCCCTTCAGCTTATGGACCATGTACACACAAAGCGGGCACACTTACGCAGCCACTTTTTCCAAACTGAATATAATGTATGGCTGTATGATATCCAGTCCAGAAATAATTTAGATAAAGGAAGAAATTCACCTATAATCTCTATTTGTGGCTACAAGAGCTTGGCAGAAAGGCATACTGAAACGCAGCTGTTCTGGGGACACCACTGGAGACGAAAAGTTTAAAATCATTTTCCTTCCCTTGACCCATGCTGAAAACTAACAATATTTGTTGGAGTTATATTGTCTTGGTTGAAGACATCTGAAATTTGGAGGCTTTCTGGTACTCAGTCAATGGCTGATATCACAGACTTCAGTGAAAGTGCTCTCATAACGGGCTATGCATTATTCTGAAGGACCATTCTTCCTCCAGCTCTATTGAGGCCAGGGCTGTTGACATCACGAAGCACAGAAGTTGATATCCCAGATATAGTTTTATCTACACAACATAAGTGTGAAACTTGTCATTAGCCCTATAAGTATCTAAACTTTTTTCAGTCCTTCTAAACAGGGTCATTGTAGCCTAGTTCTGTGATGTGTGGGCAACTGCTTCTGTTTATTATTTCCATCTCCCTGACTTTTGTGTTTCTTTACTAGGGTATACTACAAGATTAAAACAGAATCACCTGAAGCTTTCTCCTACATTGCTCATTAGTTCACATCTCTCCCACATGTTCGCTTTTGTCCTATAGCTAAGGGAGCTGCATCCTTTTCAAAATATTCCTAAATGAAAATTTCAATTATTTTATTGTCCTTTTCTAGATCCTTTTTATTTCTACTGTACCTGACTTTGCTTACTCCATATCAGAAAGAAAAATCGTAAGAGATCAAAGTATTCCAATAATGCACCTAACAACATGTGTTTACTAGAACTACCTGCTTTATTTTTCGTAATTTTGCCTATGAGAGCATGCTGGGCAAATCACCATGAGTCATACTTTCCTTCCTGACTGGCTATCGTTAACAGGAAAAATGTGAATTGTATAGAATGATTCATATTATTTTTTAAGGTGAACTATCTCTAGCTGTTCTACACAGATTTTATACCGTTTCAGGTTATATAATCACCTAGCTTTATTAGATAACAAAGATTTGCGTTCTGCAAATAGCGCATCAGTTCTCTCCAGACATCCTTACCCAATAGTTAACTTAAGTCCTAGGCCAATCCTTTCGGCATCCTGCTATTAGCATCATCTCATTCTGAAAAGAGAGCATTTGGAGGTTCTTGCTCCCTTCATATCCTTTAAATAGATCACTTGCCATTTGAAAACACTGAATAGGTAAGTCCTCAAAACAGCAACATAAATAGGTGACACAGGTATAAACCGCCGTGGAAAACAAGTGGAAATATAGTATTCCTGTAGGGATCCCCATATGTGGAAGTATGTAGTGCCCTTTCAGAATCTTTTTTTTACACTTTAAGATCTTCCTGTCCACTCCCTAAAGGTCTATAAGGTTTCAGCTCCTCAGAATCTTTCACCTAAGACAGTATTCTGGCATATGGAAACCATGAACCATATGTCTGGTCAACATCTCTGTGAAACTAGGAGCACACCTCTCATTTCTTGATAATTATCTCTATCACAAACACATGTAAGGCAGAGATTTTAGACACACGCAAAAATTTCTTCAGCTATTTAACTAGTCTTCTGCGAGGCACTGACATACACAAGTGAATAAAAAACACAAAATTCAGAAAATAACGATACAGTCCTAACACTCTCAAAGTGAAATAACTTGAAAACACAACTGCACATGAAAGTGCATATTCTACCCACTGTAGATAAAAAGATCAAAAAATTGTATTTGTTTTGAATTGTGAATGGATCTGTAATTATAATATTTTTTCCACTCAGTAAAACAAAAGGCAAGGAATACATTCTTCAAGAGTTCGTAGTTATTGTACAGGACAAATCTGTGAGTAAACAACAGCAAACATATTTACAAATTACATTTAAAAAATACTCATAACTTTGTGTTCACTCTAAATTGCAACATCTCTGATATAACAGAACTCAAGTGTGCAGTCTGCAGCCTGTCTTATTTAATTCAGGGTGATTAAGAGCATCTAAGTGAAGAGCCTGACTTTCTCCATTAAGGGAATTAAGGCTTTTAACTTTAGGTTTCTAACTTAAATGCCTTCAGTGGACTGTGTGAATACCTGTCCATTATTGACATTAGGTTGTAAAAACCAGTTAATTGGAAAAAAAAATCTTTCAGAATTTGATGGATGAATGATCATGAAATCTCACCTGTATTTTGTGCAGGTAGAGTTTTGATGTGAAGGATCTGGTGGAGTAAGTGTGATTCTTGGCGAGACCTGAGCTGATAGCAAAAATCCCGAAGCTAGGATAATGAGTGCTACAGCAGTACCTAAAAATACAGATAAAGAACAATGTGATACTTTTCTCCAGAGAACATGAAATAATTCTCTATTGAACTGAACTATGCTTGGGAAAGCAAGACACTCCATTACTATGCACACACCGTTCCCCATTATGCTAGGTAGCTGTAATAAGAATTTAAGAAAAATATCCTTTGCTACATCCACATCTCGAATTAGGTTAGATGTTAAAGTCAAGTGCATCAGATTTATTGTCCAGATACTACATTAATCGACCACGACTTTTTTTGATACGTGGAATTGAAGACTGCATGAAGGAATGGATATATTCCTTTTTGTGATGCAAGTAATGCTGTGAAGGTAAAATTTAATAGCAACTTTTAAATCACCACCCTTCTTTCCACCTCCAAACTGGAAGACTTTCCTGTCAGACAGAAAACAGCATCAGATTTTTTTTTTTTTTGTTATGAACTTTACCTCCCTTGTGAAACAAGATAAATTTGACTTATCATAAAAATGCCACAAAAAGGTCCAACTACAATTTCTGAACTTCCATTTCAAAAAGCATACATAACAGATCTGCCATGGAAGAGTCCCCTTCGATCTGTTTGGTCCAGGCCCCCACAAATTCTTTGCAAATGAGCTACTACTGGACAAAATGCCAAGAAGGAGGGCGTGATGGCAAAAGAGATTCATGCTATGTACAACAGGTCATTACTAGAACAGAACCACATATTTTTCCTACCTTATTTGTCATACACATGCAATGAGCTGTGTCATTTTAATGAAAATTGATATGCTTCACTACTCATACTAATAAAAGCTGTACATCTTGCTACTCAGTAAGGCATCTAATTCTACATTACATAAAATACTGTGCGTATCTATTTATATGTTCACTGTTTATGTGGCATGTTTTATTTGATAGCTTCCATAGAACAAGTATAGCCTGACCTATAGACTACTAGTACTAAAAATGCAAAACTAGTTCTAACTTTATTTGTGAATTAGATACTAATTACATAACAACATTTTCCTTACCATACACAGACTCAAACCACCTAACCACAGCCCAATTGGAAGGCAGCACACGTTTAGCACTGTGTCATGGTATAGCTTAAGGGTTGAGGGTAAATGAAGAACATTTTATTCAATTCTAAATATTCCCCATCATTCCTTCGCTCTGTATACAAGACGACCATAATTCATTTTCCCAAAAAATGTATGTGCAAACCTTTAAAAACATGACTACATTAAAAAACTTAAAAAGCTACACTGCTAAGTGTAAGAACGACACGTTACCTGTTCCCTAGTGAGTTTCTTTGGGGGTAGGGGTGGTTTGGGGGGGTTGGGTTTTTTAAAAGAAAAAAAAACTTTCCTAGCAGGCAAACCCATCGACTGTACGAAAAATTCTTTCTGAGGTATAAAAAAAACTCTTAAGTAGCAGGATCTGTGTAATAAAATAATTCATGGATTTGTCTGTGCAGCAGCCATGGCTAATGGTCATGAATGTTCACGAACTGGAGATTTTTGGACCACATGTTTACCTGCACCAGTAGATCTGCTTCTGACTCTAATACCTGAAACTAAATCACAAAGCATATGTGGAGAAAGCACCTATCCACCATAAAAATAAAAGTGAATTTCATCTTATTCTATACTTGCTTTGTATTGCTATAATGACTATGTACGCTAATAAGCCCAGTTTTCTGGGCAGGCTGGATTTTGTACTAGATTCATTGTACTTTCAAAATGCCAGACAGCAAATATCTTTAGACAGAGACTATAATCTTATTTATATTCATTCTAAATATGCTTTGTCTGTTTTTCAAGTTAATCAAATACACTAACACTCAGTTACAGTACGTCTGCAAATGTCTTACTTCTTTGGAAAAGGACTGAATATGCAAATTTGATAAATGAAGTTTACTATATACTTTCATTCTGTGAGAAGTTTTTCTATAATTAATAAACACATTACAGTATATCATTAAGCGAGATGGAATAAAAAAGTAAGCATTCTGAAGACAGTTTAGATTTTCTGTCAAAAAAAAAGATAAAAATTGTCAAATATCCAAATACCATCATGCTTCCAAATTGCCAGTTACTGAAGGGGATAAAGGAAAACTTTGGAATGTCTGCATGTTCCCAATGAAGAACTTTGCAGAAAGAAAAGAACTGAAGAGCAAAAGAAAGACAGAGAATTGATGCCAACATATAAAATGAACGGGAAACTAAGAAAAGCCAGTAGCTAACTGCAGTAAAGAGAACTAAAAAAGTGAGATTTTTTTCTTTCATTTTTTGACTGTAGTAGTCTGCTATAATTTTTATAATGCTTCCTGGATCTATCAGAAAGGCTAAATTTTTCAAGAGACTTGCTAATACTTTGAAAATGATAAAAATGCTCTAGATCAAATGCGAAACAGCCCTTTCCCAAGTGTTTTCAGAGAGCAGAAAAAGGTGCACCAGATTACAAAATTAACTTAGAATATGCAGCCTTAATCAAAATACTAATGTAGCTATCTCGCTAATTATTCTCGTCTGTCATCTAACAACCACCAAATCAATTAACCTTTACAAACCAACCGTTGGAGCAGCAGGAAAAGGTAGTAGTTTTGTCCTCTTTTTATATAACGGGAGACTGGGGCGTACAAGGTTTCTCCAAGGACCAGACAGGCAGCTATTTTAATAACTTAGTATGAAAACCAAAGGCAAACCAAAGAATAACACTAAGAAAAACAAGTATACCCCAGGAGAAAACTCACAGTTTGAAAAGAAATCCATCAGCAGATTTAATAATTATTTTATTGAACAGCCCTCTTGCTCAGTAAAACACATAATACCCATCATTACCTAAATCTAAATGTCAAGCATTATCTAAAAAAAAATCTGAACAGGCCTGAGAGACGATATATAATTTCAGCATTGTCATTATTTGTACCACATTTTCCTTAAGAAGAGACCAAAGGATATAGAACACAGCAAGTAACACAGCATGAACCAAATGATGCTGCAAACTGACAGCAGGCAACCAGCTACAGAGCAAGGACAAGGAATATTTTTACCAAGCAATTATTTTGTGTCCAAATATCATAAACGCATAACCCTAACTCTATTTTTCTCCTTTGTTAATTCTTTGCCTTATTTCTATATTCACCTCTGCTCGATGACTCATATGCTTTGTAAGGGACATTTACATCTACATTTCCCATTTACGACCTTTGAATATATTAACCAAAAATCAGAGCTCCAAAGAGTTCTGTGATTGTATGAAAAGTTCACATGGGAATCAAACCTATACCACTGGCTCCATATAAGCAATAAACTCCCAAGCAGTTGCCCAGAGGCAAGTATGAGGTATCAAGGGCTCAACCTATAATACTTGGCGTATTCCAGTAAGTTATAAAAGAGAGGCAGCACCCAAGAAACTAAGTATCAGCACAGTGCCAAGAGAGATCCACTTCACACAAAGGCAAAGAAACAAGAAAGTACCATAAAAGGAAAAAACAAAACAAAAATAGCATTGCTGAGCCTAGGGAATGGTACAGAACTCAGTCTTCCCCCTCTGAAAGACCTGGAACTGGATGGAGACATAAAAGAGCTGATAGGGGAAATGCATTTTAACTAATCTGGAGGTAGCTGGTGATAAAAGTATCAATTTAAGATTTGCGTTCATTTTTTATGAAATAAGGGATGTGCTCTTCCAATCACCTCTGTCATGACAACACTACTGAACTTGGATCATGAAAAAAGCTTCACGTTTCTCAACTTCGAAACAAAGTACAAAAAAAAAAAAAGAACAAATACTGTTTTATTATAACTTAGACATTCCAAACTGACTCCAAATTGCATGTTTTAATACAAAAACTGGACAACAGTGCATCAAACCAGATGTGACACTGTGCAGTCACTGTTCTGCCTACATAAGTGCATTATGGATGTAGAGTAACTCCTCTATCATTTGGGAACTGCATCCAAATTGCAGATGGCCAGCTACTTGGCAGTTGGTTCCCCACTCTGCTGCGTTACATTAGCCAGCAGTTTGGATCCCTGACAGAGCTGACAGAAGAAAGCATGGACGCATCAAACCTTTCCTGCCAGGCAGCTGTGAACACTGTTTCAAGAGGAGCAAGAACTACTTCTCTCTCTTTTCCAAATCTGGTTCTTGAAAATGTCTGAACTTTTTAGACATTCAGCCAGAGGCAGGTACCTGTAACAGGTTGCTTCAGTCAAAACGAACACTTAAGGGTCTTAACAAAGTGCCTAACCAGGTAAATGGTAGGACATGGCTGAGCACAGGCAAGACTGCCAGCTCTGCTTTTTCCAGCTTCTAAGAGATGGCCACGTGATTGAGTTATGGTGCCTGAATATTTGGACAAAATATACATATTCAGAATACTGTGTTTTAATATCTCATATGGGAGATTAAGTAATGTCCCTTTACTACAAGTGAGGTATTTACTTTATTTGACATAACTATGCACCGAAACGCATTACTTGAAAAAGTACTGCAATGGCTATGTGATATGTTTTCTCCAGAAGCTCTTGATAATGTGTTCTGAATTCACACTGATAAGCTAGAAATTACATATCACATATACATAGGTACACAAGATTCAAAAACTAACTGGGAAGTTCCATGCACTTCATTCCTTCTACTGAAAAAAAACCATAAAAAGCTGAAAATATTGTCAAACGTGCCTTGAAGGAGAAACTGTATTTGATTAAAAAAAAAAAATACTAAACATACTTTTAAAATTAGCTCTTAGTTGTGTACTATAATACTATTGTTGAAAAGCTATGTGATTTTTGAGAGAAGACAGGTCAACGTTACTGTTTTGAAGAGAATTACTTTGTTAAAATCAGCATTTTATTTTCATTTTATTTATACTTGTGAGGAATATACAACACACTCCAATGAAACACTCACCTGATAAGCTACCAAGGGTAAGTTTCCGGCGACCCATTCTTTCAACAAGCCAGACTCCCACAAGAGTGAAGATGAAATTTATAAATGCTGTCAGTGCAGCCAGCCAGATTGCAAGCCTGTCATCTTGAACTCCGGACATCTGCAAAATGGTAGCACTGTAGTACCTGTAAGAGAATTGAGACACAAATACAAACACCACCACAGATTTGAATTTTGTATTATAGTTTTTGATTTTAAATCAAAAAGGATCATAATAAAAATTCTGTTTGACCTCCTGCATAATGCGGCCGCTGACTGACACCCAATTACCCTGGGGAATCAGGCATAACCAAAGCATAACTTGCGCTTTCCTGAAGTTTTGACTGGAGGACATCAAGACATAAATTGCCATTCCCTTGGCTGTTTGCTTTTTCAATGGTCAGTCATGGTCTGCTTGAAATAGGGTTCACGTTTTTAATTTAAATTAATCTGGCTTTCGATGCCAGCCACTGCTTAGTGTTCTATCTTTTTCTGCCAAACCAAGCAGGATTTTAGCATTTTGCACATTCTCTAGGGAAAGATATTTCAAAAATCAAACATGTTTTCACTCCAGTTAAAGGTCACGTACAACTCATCTATGGCATACAACACATTGCACTCGACACTCATACATGCCTCTCGGTTTTAGGTTTTTCCAGTTTTATTTTACTGTCACTGAAATATCTGAAACAGTTTCTATCGCATTAGTTCTGCCTTACCTAGAATAGGATCGTTTTGAAATGTGTTAGCATCACACTGCAGGAATATGAATCTGCACCCAACAGGAACGTTTGACAGAAGTTTCTATTTCTTTTTAAAACAAATCAACCATACCACATAAACAGTAATTAGAAAATAACTCAAATGAGCAAAATGAGAAAAATTAAGGAAGCCCTCAACCTTTTCTTCACAGATATCAAATGAATATAGTGCATATGTTCTCAAGGAGAGCTAAAGAAACATTCAAGAAAATACACGAGTAGTTTTGTTCATGTTGCGTAAGTAATTTTCATTCTGTTCTGTTATTCATTATTTCAGCCAGCGCAGACTATCCAGTCCTTTAAATACATAGCAGTCTACCGGGTTTCACACAGTAATAACCATCAAAAATGTCGAAGTTCACTTTTTTTCCCTGGTCAAAATGCAGCTTGCCTTAAACCTCACCTCATCGTCTTAATGCCCAGATATGTTGTTCTCAACAACATATTCCAGTAGTCCCCATTTTTCTATTCTAAGCATTAAACAGTTTTTATTTCAAATCAATAATCCATGGTGGACAATACGCTTCAAGGCATTACTTGCAAAAGCGCTGAAACCATTTAAGAAGTTACCCGTCATAAATTAGAGCCCCTACAGCTGGACGTTACTTCCTCCTCCCTTCACTGAGACACAGTGAAACGTTTAGATCCTCTGAGGTCCCCTCGTTAGCTATTCTTCCTCATCAATAAAACTGCCTGAGCCTATGCCAGTAGCAGCTCATGGGTGCAGCAGGAGAGGCTCTCCAGCGCAAAACTCTTGGTAACAAGGACCTGATGTCTACACAGATGCGTGTGTAGAGTCTGGTTGCACGGACCAGCTGCCCACTGGCAACTGAAAAGCATCTTCCCGCTTAGCTTCATCTGAAAGAACTGCGTATTCTGAGACCACTCCAGTGTGTGAATCACGGAGAGACCTGAGAGATTTGTGAAGCAAAGACCCAATCTGAACTAAAACGCTCACGCTAATGTGCCCTTGCGGCTTAAGGCTCGCTACAACTAAGTTGCTAACTGGTTGTCAATGCTTACCATCATACTGCATTGATCTAGTCACCCAAACCATCTAAACAGTCTTCGATCTCCCAATACCACTTTTTTTTTTTATTTTTTCCTTCTTATGGGTTGGAAAATAACTATACATGCTAAGTCTTGGCCTACCGACACCTACTATGAAACTCCCATTTCCTTCAACCAGACAATGCTTTGTGAAGCCATGTGTAATTCCACATATCCAAATCTTCTCAAAATCCATTTCTACTGCAATGTCAGAAATTGCCAGTTGTTAGCAGTAACATATAGAGTTCTGATTCTAAATAGTTAAAAAAAAAAAAAAGTAAAGAAAAAATCACTTAAAACCACATAGATGTCTATTTCTATGGATATACAAAACCAGGCAGCTTCTGTACCCAACATCCCTTCTAGTTCTTCATTGAACTCACTAGTCATACATACTCAGCTAGAAACTTACTGTTTATCCATGAATAAACAGCATATTTCATTTCCATGGAAAACAAACCAGGGAAATTTAGATTCTGCAAATCCAAATGACAAGCTACCAAAGCTTGAGCGCTGGGCAATGACTTTAAGGTTTGTCGTGGCATAGCCATCAAATTTCAGAAATTAAAAACCAAAAAAAAAAGCAATTACATGAGTTATTTTAACTACTAAACATAATTGCTTAGGTCACCACATTCCAGTATTCCTATTTTTAATGCCAACCTGTGCAGCCCTAACTGCCTATTAAATGTAACAAGATGACAGGTCTTTTTAATTTCTTCCTGATAAGGAGAAAAATCATGTGGCAGAAAAAGGTCAAGTTATGATATTATTCAACTGCTTTGAACACTGCAGCTACTACTAGAAGGAATGCAGTATGACTGTCAAAGCTGTGAAGTCCTAGCTTATTTTCTAAACCATAAAGAAAACCATAAAGAAAATGACAAAACCCGTGTTCCACGAGAACATGTGACAAATAGTGCTTCTCCTATACTCTGAAGTTGTTTCTTTCCTCCTTTATGAATTACTAAAGCTTATTGCCCTAATTTTGAGCATAGGAACTCTACTGGATGCATCCAACCTGGGGCAGGTGTGCGTTTTTACCCAAACAACCTACCACGTGCACTGCATAAGACAATGTATTTAAAAAAATACAGCAATATACTACAGCATATGTATGCGTGCGATAAGGAATATTGTCCCTCAGCTGACTTTTTAAGCCTGGAAAGGTTGAGGTGAGAAGTGGCAGGTCCGCATTTTCAGGTACGGCGAGTTGCAGGCTGGCCACGTGAACGTTATGAGAGGCCATGATGCAATCTATCAAGCCATGTAACCGCATTAATATGAGACTATGCCATTGCCATCTGGGCAGCTGGGCCATTTAGACACACATCATCCTGTCTAAAAAGCTGTGTCACTAAGGCTAACTCAAATTTCACATGGTGCTAATACACATCTGTCTTATTATTGATTCAAACAAAAGCCTCCAACCCAAATTAAAGCCTTGTTTGTTTCACGTTTCCCTCCTTTTGCACGCTATCACACATCCAACAAAGTACCTCATTGACCTATCATACACTTTGAATATATGTATTACAACGATGATGATAAAGACAGGTTAAGCTATTCTTAACGTGCCACCTTTTGGTGACCAAAGATCAAGATGGTTTTACATGTTGCTAACCTGAAATAATAACAGGCCAAGAAATAGTGTTCCAATGCTATAGAATACAGAACTCCTCCCAGAAATAAAATGCTTGGCTGTTACTGGCTTAGTTTAGCTTAT